CAGGGAGTATTCTAAGAAAGAATTAAGAATATAGGGGTATTTTCTGGCAACAAGACTAAAGAAAATGAGAGAAGCATAATGTGGGAAAATTAGCAGCAAGAATAAAGTAACAGGCAAGAAGCAGCTGGTAATAACAAATTGATAGCTGTTAATAACAAATGTGTATCAGACTGCTGGCTGAAGGAGTGTGTTCATGAGGAGGTGGGGGTGGAAGGAATTTAGAGGAAGAAAATGAGCTCAGCCCACTCACTACTGTTATCTGAGACATCTCTCAAAGGGCCCTCTCTAGATAAGGAGGGTCATTGGGGCGCCTGGGTGGCGCAGTCGGTTAAGCGTCTGACTTCAGCCAGGCCACAATCTTGCGGTCCGTGAGTTCGAGCCCCGTGTCGGGCTCTGGGTTGATGGCTCAGAGCCTGGAGCCTGTTTCCGATTCTGTGTCTCCCTCTCTCTCTGCCCCTCGCCCGTTCATGCTCTGTCTCTCTCTGTCCCAAAAATAAATAAACGTTGAAAAAAAAATTTTTTTAATAAAAAAAAAAAAAATAGATAAGGAGGGTCGTCATGCCTGGCAGGAGGGGGCCACTCTTACTGCACCCTTAATCCAATCCTTTCCTTCTGCCCACTTTGGGGAGTGGCCTGGGTGACTTGTCTGCTCCTCTTTGGGATGTTTTCCCATTGCCAAGAACAATCCCAATGCACTATAACATGACAGAGGCCCACAGTCTCAAAAGTGTGATTAGGGATCCAGGCTAGATATAAAATAAAGACTTAAAAAATAGAGATGGGATAAAGAACAGGTGTATTTAAAAAGTGCATACCCTCCCAACCAACAGCTGTACTCCTGCTGTTATACCTTAAAGGAATATCCAACATTTATGTAAAACTTACTATATGCTAAAAGCCACTATATATAATCCTCTTGATAACCCTTACTATATAACCCATGAGAGAAAGAATTCCATATTCCCAATTTACTGATGAGCACAGAGATTAAGTAGTTTGCTACAGTCACAATAGCTAGCCATTTTTATTTATTTATCTTGAGAGAGAAAGAGAGAGAGAAAGTGCATGAGTGCAGGAGAGGCAGAAGACAGGAAGAAAGAGAGAGAATCCCAAGCAGACTCTGTGCTGTCAGCGCAGAGCCCAATGTGGGGCTTGAACTCCTGAACCTCAAGATCATGACCTGAGCCAAAAACAAGAGTCGTACACTTAACCAGCTGAGGATCCAGGTGCTGAGAATCTACAAAAGCTAACATCTAAACCACAACAGTGTGACTCTATAAAGTTTTTGTTCTTTTTCTTTAATGTTTATTTATTTATTTTGAGAGAGAGAGAGGGAGAATCCCAAGCAGGCTCCATGCTGTCAGTGCAGAGCCCAACATGGGGCTTAAACCCACGAACTGTGAGATCATGACCTGAGCCAAAATCAAGAGTCATATGCTTAACTGAGCCACCCAGGAACCCCTCTAAAGTTTTTGTTCTTAACTCATGGCACCAAAGATGGCTATGTGATCTGTCCCCTGTCCAGAGGTGCCCAGAGGGAGCAAGTCCAAGAAACTCAATCCATACACCCTTAACAATCCATGCATCCTGAACAGAAAGCTACATCCACCCAAGAACTCTTCTCTTCACTCAGGCCCTTCCGTTTGCCAAGCTGTATGCTCAGAGGACTAGGTCCATGCAAAGAGGAAGCCTTTCAGATGCACATAGAGGTCCCGTACAGCCACAGCACTGCACTGACTGTCCTGTGCAGGAAGCTATTTACAAGGGTGTTAATGCAGCACTCTTTGTGCTGATGAAGTTGGAAAATGGACAAATAAATCGCGCTCTATTCTTACATTGGGATGCTATGGAACACTCAGAAGGAATGGACTATTTGTTATGTATCTGTAGATTTTTCAAAAACATAACATTGAGTGAAAATCAAGTTGCAACTTATGTACAGGAACAAAAAACAATATTACATTTTATACATATACACACACATTCACTCAATTCACGAGATGGTTGTTTCTGAGGAGGAGGGCAGATTAGAAGCTGGGAGGAAGGATGCCTGGGTGGCTCAGTCAGTGGGCGTCCGACTTCGGCTCAGGTCATGATCTCGCGGTCCATGGGTTCGAGCCCCGCATCGGGCTCTGTGCTGACAGCTCAGAGCCTGGAGCCTGTTTCGGATTCTGTGTCTCCCTCTTTCTCTGACCCTCCTCTGTTCATGTGCTCTCTCTGTCTCAAAAATAAATAAATGTTTAAAAAAAAAAAAAGAAGAAGCTGGGAGGAGATTCCCCAGGAAAGACTTAAATGTACCTTTATTGTTATATTCATTCGAATAAGACTTGAAGCAAATATGACATAATGCTTATTAGTATCAATTCTAGGAGGCAAGTATGCAATTGCTCAAAATAAAAATACAGACCACTTTTTAAGAACAGGCTTAGTGGGAACCTGGGAGTCACAGCTAGAAAGCTGTGCTGTGAGGGGCACCTGGGTGGCGCAGTCAGTTAAGCCTCGGACTCAATTTCAGCTCAGGTCACGATCTCACAGTTTGTGAGAATTGAGCCCCACATTGGGCTCTGTGCTGACAGCGCAGGGCCTGCTTGGAATTGTCTCTCTCTGCTCCTCCCGCATTTGTGTGTGTGTGTGTGTGTGTGTGTGTGTGTGTGTGTGTGTGCATATGCATGCTCTCTCTCGCAACAAATAAATAAATGTTTTTAAAAAAGAAAGCTGTGCTTTGAGATCAATAATTGGAACTTCACGGTTCATGGCTTCAGAGATGGAACGATTATGGGTGGTGACAAGGTCTGAGGTGTGGCCATTTCAATGGGTGGCTAAAGCTGAGTGGAGGTGGGAATCGATGGGGTATAAGAAACAAAGGATTCAGATGTGTCACCAATGTGGAAGTTTTCCAGAATGATGACAAAAGCCAGGGAGGCAAGAGAGAGGTGCCAACATTCTCATTGAATATGGTTATAGGGCAAGAAGATTACTTGAGCCAACAATGAGGATGGTTAGAGGGCGGAGTGTATGTGTATGAGTGGAGGTGTGGCTGTTGAAAGAAGCCACACAAGGAGCAGAAAGCCCAGGCCACGCACAGTGGAGAGAGAGGGGTACACCCACGGGAACAGCTGGACAGCAGGGTCATTCAGGAAAAGCCCGGTTTCAGTCAGGTGAGGAGATAGTTACCTCACAAATCCCACTGAAATTCTAAGGGTATAATTCCATGATCCAAAACTCTAGCTTCAATTAAAGAGGAGTGGTGGGTCCTACCAGCAACCAATAAGCAGAGAACTGGAGACATGGTGTGTTAGACATGAAGCTGCCGAGCACACCAAGGAGGAGGGGACGCTGAAGGAAATCATCACAAAGTCGAAGCCCAGATGCTCAGTCAGGAAACGGGGTCAATGCTGAGTGACTGAAAGGACCTGAGGGAGCAGGCAGAGCGATCCCAGAACACTGCAGGTAAAGAGCTGACAGACTGGGAAACAACCATGACCCTGAAAATCGCTCTGGGGAAGTGTCAAGGAACGAATGGAGACAGGCCACCTAAGAAGAAACGTGTGATTTAGAGTCCAGAATGGACACATACAACAGCGGAAAATCAATATGCAAGACTTAAATCCTCCTGGAGATAGAATTGGAAAAGTGACTGGACCAGGGTGGTGAAGAGGAAGACAGGCAAGAACCCAGGAAGGGGACAGGGGTCGCTAGACTTCCACAAATGCCCTCTCAGGCCACTTTTAGGCTAAGGCAAACTTGGGAGGCTGAGTTTCTCCAATACTTATGCCAAGACATGCCTTCATATCACCAGAGCGCCTCCCTATAGGGCACAAAGTTCCCGTGGAGACACTAAGACAGGGAGGCCCATGTCCTCTCAGCTCTGGCGTGCCCACACCTGCAAAGTGGACTGTTCATTGATATTGGAAACATTCACTTACAGAGAATGTGCTATAAAGATGGCCAGCCATGCTGATCAAGGCCTTATTCAGAAAATACATCAATCCCTCTCTGACACACAAAAAATCACCATCCCTCACACTCAGTCTGGGCAAAGGAAGAGCTAAGTCTCACACACTATATCCTACTCTTTATTTCTTCTCCAAACTCCCCTCCATTTGTGTTCAGGTGATCTTTTTTCTATTCTAGACAGAAGCAAGATAGAAAAAAACACAGGTTCTGTCCCATACCATCGTCTCACACCTGCTAGCTGCCTTTGGCATTTAGAAGGGAAGAATGAACATCTGCACCCACTGGCCCCTTGGTTTGGACTGACAGGCCCCAGGGGACACCTGTGGGAAGCCCAGAAGGTCCAGGAAAGACTTCGTCAATACCGCACAGATCTGCCACCATTGCCTCTGTAGCTCTAAAATGTTTAACTTCCCAGTATCTCAAAATTCAGTAAAAGAAAAATCACTCTAAAGTATAAAATAATTGATTATCAAACCCACTGTTGCTCTGTTTGTCAGAGGGAGGTGGTGAGAATACTAAGTGCCTGAAATGGTGGGGCACAGGGGGAGAAAGGCACTTTTTATAGGTAAAAAAAGTTTGGTAAATTCTGGTTTATATACACAATGGAATACTACTTGGCAATGAGAAAGAATGAAATATGGCCTTTTGTAGCAACATGGATGGAACTGGAAAGTGTTATGCTAAGTGAAATAAGTCACACAGAGAAAAACAGATACCATATGTTTTCACTCTTAGGTGGATCCTGAGAAACTAAACAGAAGACCATGGGGGAGGGGAAGGGAAAAAAAAGTTAGAGAGGGAGGGAACCAAACCTAAGAGACTCATAAAAACTGGGAATAAACTGAGGGTTGATGGGGGGTGGGAGGGAGGGGAAAGTCGGTGATGGGCATTGAGGAGGGCACCTGTTGGGATGAGTACTGGGTGTTGTATGGAAACCAATTTGACAATAAATTTCATATTAAAAAAATAATAATATAAAATAAAATTTTGTATTTCCAAAAAAAAAAAAAGTTTGGTAAAATCTCAAAACCCTCTGGTCCTACCTCTGCACCACCAGGGCTCCTGGAATGAAACTTCCGGTTGTGTTGATTGAGCAGAGACAGAGTCACAGTGAGGAAGGAGGGGATAAGAGTGTAAAGGAGGGCTTGGGCAAGCACCAACCACCACAGTCATCATTGGCCTGGCTTCAGACACGGCTGCCTTCTCCCCCTACAAAGCAAAACCAGAGGAGAAGCAGAGTTCTTTTAGATTTCTGTGCAGCTCCGCACATAGAGAGCTGAGTGGTGGCACATCCTTCATTGTGTCAGGGAGTTCATGTGCACATTCTATCTGAAACAATCACATCCAGACCTGGTACCTCTCTCTATGGCCACCACCTCTCCTGCAGAAACTCCATCCTCAACAAATCCCAACCTCCCTTCACTACATCCTTGGTCACATTTTGCAAAGGTCATTCCCTGAGGAAATGTGACTGCCTGTTTCAGATCAACAGTTCAAAATAGCAATAGAACATAAGTTATCTCAATGGCCCATTGAATAATAATAGTTCATAGTACCTATATCTTATTGATCATTTACTACACACTAGCACTGCTCTAAGAAATTTGTCACAATAATTCTGTGAGATATTATTCTTACCTGTATTTTGCAGATCAGAAAACAGAGCCAGAGAGAGCTTAAGCCCCTTTCCCAAAGACACACAGCTAGTAAGCAGCAGAACCAAGATCTGAGCCCGGCAATCTAACATGATTATTAACAACTAATACTATTATTAATACTATTATTAACCACTATGTAATTCTGCCCCTTGGAAAAGATCAGCATAGTTAATATCATAGTTAGAAATATGTAATTTGCAATTTGCCAGCAGCCCTGCTTCCCATGATTTCTAACTCCTTTTCCCTTGATGTTTACATTCGATGTTTTCAGCCTTCACATCTAAAACCCAACAGGGTACGTTGTGTTATCTTGTCATAACAGAGTATAAAACAAGGCCTCAGCAGGAGTACAGCCCATGTAAACTTCAGGAGCAGTTTCTGTGTTCATGTCCACATCAAGGTTGACTCCAAGATCTCTACTGTGCAGGCCAGCCAGATGGTGTTAGCACTAACAGAAGTCAAGTAGCCAGAAGGTAAAGCACAGTTAGAGAAACAGATATTTAGTTTACACTGTTCATTCAGTCAACAAATATTTCAAGAGCCTTTAGTAGCTACTGTGTTGCATTCTAGATACAACAGAGAACCAGACGGAGTCCTTGCCATTTGGCAGCAATTTTAGGACACTCTAGAGGAAACTGAGAATAAACAAGCAAACAGAAACAAAAAGGATACCATGGGGGCACCTGGGTGGCTCAGTCAGTTAAGCTGCTGACTCTTGATTTCGGCTCAAATCATGATCTCATGGTTTGTAAGTTTGAGCCCCGTATCGGGCTTTGCGCTCACAGTGCAGAGCCTGCTTCAGATCCTCTGTCTCTCTCTTCCTGCCCCTCTCAAAAATAAATAAACGTTAAAAAAAATTTTTTTAATAAAAAAAAAAAAGAAACAGGACACTATGACAAAATAACCAAGGGAATCTCTTTTATATGGAGCATTCAGGAATGTAGTAAATTTGAGATGCTCAAAGATAGGCAGGTGGATATACAGGTCCTAATGACATGTTGTCCTTAATGTCTTTCCGCCAGCTTCCCAGGAGCTTTATTTAAGAACAGTTTAAGATTCTGTAATGCAAACTTCTTGACCTGGTGTTCCAGGCCCTGCTCCAACCCCGCCCTGCCTATCTACAAGCTTCCCACAGCACTCCAAAACACACCCTCTCTGTTCTACTCAGGCTAATCTCGCATTATCCCACAACACCCCACGTTCACCCCCACACTGTTCTCTCCCCTACACCTATTAATTCTACCCATCCTTCAACACCAGGCTTCCTCATTCTTATCCACTGCAAGCTTACCAAGCTTGTCTCCCCTCTAAACTACTAGCTGTCAACTACCTAAATACAGCTTTCTGTCCTTCTCTGCTGCTTCACAGGCACCATAACCCAGGACTTTAACACCAGGTACCACAATCTCCTCTCAGTAAATGTGGCCAGGAAGGCGACTCAGGTTCTCAGGGCCAGAGGCTGAGAGAGGTGACTGGCACAAAAAGGCAGCCAAAGGAGACCAAGCAGAATGCCCAAGGAGCACAGTTTCCAAGGAGGAAGACACAGAGTGTCCAATCAAGTGGAGAGATCTCAACAATTGTGAATATAGGTGACAGAGACGGTTCTAAGGGGAATGAAGAATGAATCCAGGTGGGGCATCTAACCAAAGCCTAGGAGACAAAGCATAAGCCTTGTCTCATAGATGGGTCCGACACAGAGTAGAAGGAGTGACCTGGGGATACACAGGGGCACCGTGTACCAACTAGCAGCAAAACGAATCTAGGGAGAGTCCAGGAACCTAGAAACTAACGATGAGTGACCAAGTTTGAGGACTGATTCAACTCCAAGCTGTAGGTAGAGATCATCAGTGGACTTGTTTAGGGGAAGTAGGGAAAGTAGATCAAAGAAATGAAGACCCAAATGTTTACGGATAGATTATTGGTCCCTTAGGTGCAGGGGCTATGCTCATTTCTTGCCTCCACAGCACTCAGCAAAAGAAATATTTACTCGTTACATTAAAAAAAAAAAAAAAAAGACCACGGGCAGTGTTAGTATTACCCAACGGGGGAAATACACCAGCTCACCTGAGTCACTCTTAAGCAGGCTGTGTAGTGGCAGCTTTACAAGAAGGTACCATCACCTGGCAAACACAGAGTGGTAACATGATCCAGTACATGAACATGGGGCTAGGAATGAGGTGGTAAAGCTATGCCAACTTTGCCGGTAACCTCCCATAAGACCTTAAACAAGTCCTTTCACTTCTCTGAGCCTCACTTACGTCATCTATAAAAGGGTACCTAATGTAACTGCTGCAAATTTTTCATAGTCTCTAGAACACTCTTTCCCCAGCTCTTGCTTGGCTAATTTCATTTCTTTTGAAACTTTGCTCAAATTTTGCTTTCCTAATGAGGCCTATTAGCCATCCTCTGAACTGCCCACCCCAACCCCCATATCCCCACACACTCAGGTTTATACTTTTCTTTTTCACAAAGCTTCTAACAAACTATATAATTTATTTACTCATTATCCTTATTGCTGCTGGCTAGAATGTAAGCTCTGTGAGGGCAAGGACCTTTGTTCTAATTCACTGATGCACATCAAGTCTCTGAATAGCATTTGGAACAGAGTAGGCATTCAATAAATATCTGCTGAATGACTATATGAATGAATCTAATAAAGGCCAAAACCTTGTGAAAGAAAAAGACCAGAATAATAAATCATTTATATTCTCCCTGAAGCCAGGGGCTCCTACCCATACCTTCATTCAACCCTATACCCCCACCCCCACATCCTGTACCAGAGTGTGAGGCAGATGTTAGGACCTAAAAGTGCAAATACACCCATGGTGCTCTGGGGCCACCTGCTGGCAACTCTATTTATTGGTAAATGGAATTGCCGGGAATCTCTCCCTTCAGTAGTGAGGACTGCCACACTACACATAAACGGGAGGAAGGAGAATAGAGTGGAAGTCAAGGAGTTTCCCAAAGCTCCTGGAAGAGAATTAAAATCGTCTCTGAACATGTAACAGTGTTTCCTAGAACTCCTTTTCCACCTACAGTAATAACAGTAACACCATGCACTTCTGGCATTATTTCATTAATCAGTCTTTTGATGCTGGCATGGTTGTCACGATTCTATACATAAAGAAAGTTTCCTTTCAAAATAAATGTTTTCAAGAGGCGCCCAGCTGCCTCAGTCCACACATAGAGCCTGGGACTCTTGACCTCACGGTTGTGAGCTCAAGCCCCACACTGGATGTGGAGCCTATTTAAAACAAATAAATTTAAAAATAAAAATAAACATAAACAGGAGCGCCTGGGTGGTACAGTCAGTTAGGCATCTGACCTCCACCCAGGTCAGATCTCACAGTTTGTGGGTTCTAGCCCCATATACAGAGCCTGGAGACTGCTTTGATCCTGTGTCTCCCTCTCTCTCTCCCTCTGCCCCTCTCTGCTTGCACGCTCTCTCAAAAATAAACAACTAAAAAAATAAAAATAAACAAATAGGGGCACCTGACTCTTGATTTCTGCTCGTCATGGTCCCAGGGTCATAGGATCGAGCCAAGAGTCTGTGGGGCCTGCTTGGGATTCTCTCTCTCTCTTCATCTGCCCCTGCCCTTCTGGCACACTGGCTCATTCTGTCTAGAAAAAGAACATAAATAAAATAAAGTCATTTTTTTAAAATAAACAAATACTTCCAACTAAGTAAATCAGCGAAGCCATTCACATTAGAATATTCATAGGTGACATCAGGACAAGGTGCGCACGGGAGGCTTTGGGAGTGTTCGCGCACACGCGCTGGACAGCGTGACAGCACCACGGAGCACCCACGAAATGTGAGGGTCCTCAGCAACCCGATGGTGCTCCCCAAGCCGGCCGGGGGTCTCCACTTGGTTCTGAGCAGCTAAGAACCCGAGGCCGCTGCCCCGGAACCGCCTCCCGGGCCCCTGCGCTCCCACCGCCCTTCCCGACTGAGGGGGCGGAAGACAGACCGCTCTTGCCCGGAAGCACAGCCCTCGACCCCCCGCGCGCCCCGGCCAGGACCCGTGACCGGCCGGCTCCAGGCGCCACCCCGACGCGCCTCCCGGAGGGCCCTCGTGCAGCCCCGCCCTTACCTCCGCGGGCAGGTACTTGGCTCGGGCCCCGGCAGCACACCCCCCCCCCCCCCGCCACCGCGGGTGACACCCCCGCCTTTCCAAGCCCGGCCGCGCGCCTCCGCTTGCGGTCGAGCACCTGGGGCCTCTGGGACGGCGGGCGCTGACGCCTCCTGGTGGCCGGTGGGAGCCTCGGCGCCTTCCCTGCAGCCCTGGCTGGTATGCTCCTTCCCAAAAGACGTGTGCAAAATGGGGGGCTTGTAGGTGCTACGTGCACTTTTAATAGTGTTTGAGTTATTCTTACCCGTGCTAGAAAAAACTGCAACTAGTGCAACTAACACCATTTGTCTCAAATAGAATTTTAGTATAAGGCTAAGATGTGTGTATGTGTATGTGTGTGTGTGTGTTTACAAAATCTGATTTTATTTTTATGATCTTAGAGATGAAATAATCCAGGCATAAATAAAGGGGTACGTGCTATCTCTGGCAATGGAACGGTCCTGCTTAGTAGCT